ATTTTAAGATCTCAGTCGCTACTTGCCACAGTAGGAGGTGGAACAGTGTTTTGTGTAGTATGTTATGCCAATTGAGCTTGATGTCATCTGTGACTATGGTCTCAAGCCCACAAGTTCAACTACTTGGTCCCTCCGGGTAGCTGGCTGTGACCAAGCAGTGACTACAGCCTTTCCCCTTGTCAGCCCCATTATACACCTGGGACTTCAGATCATACACATAAAGTTATTGGACCACTTTCTGCCAACCCTCTACCTGTTCTTGGGTGCACTCTCCACTTCACATACATACCTAATATTTCAGCCTGTCCACCCATCTATCCCCCCATATACCCGTGTTTGCCTTCACTGAAGGTCATGAAGATTTATCCCTATGTTTTCGTTCAAGAAGTTTCTACTTTTATCTCTTATCAGTTTCGGTTAATTTTGCATCTTATGTGAGATAGGTCCAAATTCATTTTTTTTTACACATGGCTATCTCTGGTGGCATAGTGCCTAAGGCATTTGACCGCTAACCAGAAGGCTAGCAGTTCAAACCCACTCCTTGGAAGGAAGATTGGGAAATCTACTTCTGTAGCAGTGCTGCCTCGGAAACCCAAGGAGGGGTCACTGTGAGTCAGGATTGACTTGATGGCAGTGAGTTTGATTATCTTTTTTATTTTTTATTTTTTTGGTATCCATTTGTCTCAGCATCATTTATTGAAAAGACTATTCTTTCCCCCATTGAATTTCCCAGAACCCTTCTTGAAAATCAATTGAGCATAAATAATGTGGATATATTTCTGGGCATTCAGTTTAATTCAGTTGATCTGTATGTCCATTTTTAAGCCATTGTCAGTCTTGATTACTATAACTTTGTAGTAACTTTTGAAATTGTAAAGTGTGAATCTTCCAACTTTATTTTGCCTTTTTAAGATTGTTTTGGATATTCTGGGTCCTTTGAAATATGATGTGAATTTTAGGATCAGGTTGTCAATTTATGCAAGAAATAAAAAGCTGGAGTTTTGATACGGATTTTGTCAAATTTGTAGATCAATTTGCGGAGTGTTGTTATTTTTAAAGTACTGACTTATACCTGAACATGGTGTGTCCATTTACATCTTTAATTTCTTTTGATAGCGTTTTATAGTTTTCAGTGTACAAATCTTATACTTCCTTTTAAAAATTTATTACTATGTATTACATTCCTTTTGTTGCTATTACAGATGGGATTGTTTTCTTAATTTCATTTTCAGATTGTTCATTGCTACTGTACAAAAATGCACTTACCTTTTTATATTGATCTGGTATCTTAGCACATTACTGAACTCAATTATTATTTCTAATAGTTTTTAACCCAGTCACTAGTGCTCAGACGGCTCCCTTGTTACCCTCCCGAGAGGGACCGGGTCTCTGGGAGCAAGGTAAGCACGGGCGGGCTGGTGCTTACTCACTGATCTGCAC